TCCTTGGGACAGGAATTTTCCTTCTTCTGCTGATCCAAGCGGGGAGCCCATTATTCCTTCGTCCCCCTCCCAACAACCCTGTGAGGTAGACTTGACCGACAGAGAGGACGGGCCGGGCTCTCTCGGGTCCTACAAGAGGTGCCCCCCCCAGCCAACCCTCTGTTTATCCAGGACGTGGAGAAATCCCCCCCATCCCAAAACGGAGCAGCCACGCGCCCCTAAAGGGTCTCCCGCCGGCGGGCTCGGGATGGGGCAGCCAAGACGGAGGGTGGGTGTGTAGGATGGGGGACAGACCCAGAGTCCCCCCCCCGTCTCTCTTCTCCACCCGCTTTGACTTTTCTTTGTCCGGTGCCTTGTTTCAAACCGAGAGGAGTATTGTTTTGGGGGAGGGGTGGGTTTGGGGTGCAGGAGAATTTCAGGGTGGGCTCTTCCGGCTTTGCAGGGAAGGAGCCCCAAATCCTGCCAAAGATAAAGCCCCTCGGAATGAATATATATATATATATAATATACGGACGGAGGGGAGTATATAAAATATACGGACGGAGGGGAGCGCTTGGCGTCCCGAATGCGCGCCTTGTACGTCTTATTATCAAGTTAATTAAAGCTAGCATCTGACAATGTCACTCGGCTATAGAAAAAGAGATTTAAATGCGACGTCTCCTAGGACTGCATGTCAAGGGCTGCTATTCTTTTTTCCTCCCTCCCTCCGTCCGCCCCCCCCCCGCAACCCTCTGTACGCGCTCCCCCCCCCGTCTCACTGCGCTGCTCCTCCAATCCAGCTTTACTAGAACAACCACGAAAATCGCTTGCCTTGAAAGCCGCTGCTTCTATTGGCATGGAAGCAATTATGAAAAATTTTGATGTTGGAAAAAAGAAAGAAAGAAAAGGAAAAAAAACATCACATTAAAAAAAAATTAAGGGAGAAAATAATAAAACCATTTCGCTCATTTGTGCGCGCCCGGCTTTTCTTTTTCTGTTTGAAGATAGAGTGGCGGTATGAAAAGATACCAAGGAAGAGTGGGATCAAAGGGTGTCTCCCCCCTTCTATCTCTCCCTTCCTCCCCCAGAAAGATTCTTCTCAAGCATTTTAAGAGATTATTATTATTATTATTATTTTTATCGCCACCGTCATTGCTATTTGAACTTCAACAAGGAGCCGAGAAAGACAAGGGAAAAGATTCATGTGTGTTTGTGTGTGTGTGTGTGTGTATGTGAGAGAGAGAAAGAGAAAGTGGTGTGTGTGTGTGTGTGTGTGAGAGAGAGAGAGAGAGAGAGAGAAAGCGGGAGTGTGTGTGTGTGCATGTGTGTGTATATGTATATGTATATCTATATATCTAGATCTAGATCTATATAATTGCAAAGTCGCTTTTGAAATGTGTCCATTGAAATGCGCGGAGCTGGTTGCTACGTGGACGTGCTCTCGAGGTCAAGTGACGGACGGATTGTATGCTTCTCCATAATAATATTAATTAAACAATTTGCATGCTAATAAGGTAACAATTATCAGGGCTTCTGTTGAAAGATTCAGGTTATTACAACACGCCAGCCTGGGGCCAAAGGTCAGAGAGTGAGAGGCGAGAGAAATTTCAACTCAAATTAACATTCTGTCAGCTTCAGAAAATGGGATAAATAAAGTCGAATTAATTCATTATAATAAAAGAGAGGCAGAAGCCAGCGGGAGGGAGGGAGGGAGGGGGGAAGAGGGGAGGGGGGAAACCCACCCCCCTTTTATTCGTGGGCCGGATTGATTACCGCTTTGTATTCAAGCCCACGTTCCTTTGGCATTCCTGGTCCTGAAATACGACAGAAAACGAGGGTTTTATTGCTACAGGCGAAAACTTGCTTCAGTGGCTACAGTTTACATTTAGTATTTATAGAGAAAGAAATTAAATTATGTTGAAAAGGGGAACCCTTGGCCTCTCACCCCGGAATTAGTAACCACCTATCTTGGTCTTCCCCTCCCTTGAGGTGGGCAAGGGGCGGGGCTGCGGGAAAGTGCCGGCGCCTAAACTGCTATTCTTTTATTTTTTATTTTATTTTATTTTACTTTATTTTTAATTAAACTTTAATTTAGGGCCAAAAAGGAAGGGGGAAAATCTTCGGCTCCTCGCAGAAAATTCAATCGCGCAGGGAATCCAAAGATCATGCGGATGAGGCTTTTCGTTCCGCTCTTTATTCCGAATTGAAATCTGCGAGTCTCATCCGCGCAACCGCTCAAATACCTCTTTGACCCTGAACGCGCTATCCACGTGGATTCCGGATTTGGGGGGAAAGAGATCCTGTAAAAATAGGTTTCCGGAGAGGCGGTTCGGATTGTCTCTGAAAACTTCGAAGATACCAAACTTTGAACTTTGAAAAGAGACAGGAAGTTTAGAAAATAAATAAAAGAGGAGATGGCTGCCTTGTTCTTCAGATTTTGCTCTTCTTGCTATTTTAAAAGAAAACCGCCACCTACAAAGCAGAAATATTCTTGTTATTATTAACCTGAAAAAAGGCCCAGGCAAATTAGGAGTTTGGGATTATATTTGGAGAAGAGACGCGCGTTTTAGGCTCCATTTGCACCTATTTCTAGCCTCCTGGCTTAGGAAAAGCACAAGATTTTGGACACGGCCGCTTTCGAAAGGAGGGAGGCAGACCCTAAGCTTAGCCGGACAGGGTGCGGCCCAGGCAGCGGGCTTCACCTCGAGAAAGACACCCAGAAAACAGGAGGACGAAACAGCTGCGCTCTGGGCGGCCAAAGACTGGGGTTGGAGAGCTTGGGGCGCCGCGCGCGCAGTTTATTTGGGAAGGGGAAGCGAGCCCCGTTTCCCCTCTTTGCAGGGGAATTTTGTTGTGGGGAGGTTCCCGCGGCCGACTAGAGAGTAAGTCCTGCTGATCTCGCAGGGCGCCTGGGGAGAGGAAGGAAAGGAAGGGGCCAACTGCGTGCGCCTGGCCCAATCCTTTGCCCTGCCCTCTCCAGAACAGCCTTGCAGGGCTGCTGGCCAGACGGCCGTCTCAAAGGGCAGGACCCCTCGGCTTGCAGGGATGGTCTCTGGAGGTGTGTGTGTGTGTGTGGAGGGGGGGAGATCTCATCTGCTGGCATTCTTCTGGCGAGCAACCGGCGCCCCCCGGGGGGGGGCAAGGACAGCCAAACTTTTACGCACGGAGTTACCTGGATCAGCAGCCGGACACCACTCATCCTGATCGGTGCAGGAAGACTTGGGGAGAGGGGGGACCCCGAAGAAGCTGCACCCCCTGGAATCTAGGCCGAAGCTCCCCCAGCAGAAGCAGCGCCTTCCGAGTTGCTCCGAATAGGCTTTGGGTTCGCTTCCCAGGCCGATCACCAGCGGCACCCGAACCAGAGAGAGACGCGCCCAGGGGAGGGGGTCTCCGTAAACTTTCCCTACGCCCCCAAGCCTTGGGCTTGTAAGACAGCACTTCCTCACCATGAAGGGGCCCGCTGGCTTCAGTGCGCTGGCTGACTCTAGACCCGTCTCCACTGGCCATCGTCTGGCTTGTCGGAGAGGGGTCAGGTTTCCGAAGGATTGGTTCCCCCCAAGGAAGCCGCCCCCCCCAGGCTCTGCCTTAGCCCCCGTCTCCTCTGACTCCCGCCGCGAGCCCTCCTCCGGCAGGGCCTGGGGTCCGAGACACCTAAAAAGATTTTCCCTTGCCGGATCTTTCTTTCGGCCCGAGGAACGCAACTTGGCCTGCTGGCCTTGCGCCCGGTGTCGGATTTTTCTCTGGGTAAAATGTGCGTGTGTGTGGGGACGTTTTAGAGGAGGTTTGCGCGGGTCTGAATGCGGAACTGCGCCTTTGGCTTTGCGCGGGTGTTTCTGTGTACATCTCTCTAACTATATTTGTGCATCTCTCTCTCTCTCTGTGTCTCTCACTCACTCTCCCGCCCCCTCCCGCCCCCCCTCTCTCTCACACACACGCACCCAAAGTATGAGGCATGCTCTTTTGCCAAATCGCCCGTTTGTTTTTTAATTAGGCACCCTCTGGTCCATTCATAATTTAGTTCGTGTGTGATTTTATTTTCTCCAGGGATACGTGGGGGAGAAACCTTTAATTGTTATTTTGATTGATACGACCCGATGGCGCTGATATATCTATAGAGAGAGAGAGACGCGCACCCCCCCCCCATCCACTCGCACCCCTTCTGTTTCCTCCAGCTCTCCGGCATTTTTTTTTTTTTTTTTTTAGCTTTTCCAATTCGCGCTCCTTCCTCTTTCTCTTCCTCCTTCTCGTTCGAGAGAGAGAGAGAGAGAGAGAGAGAGAGAGAGAGACAGAGAGAGAGAGAGAGAAGGGAGGGGTGAGGGGGAAGAGAGAGAGAGAAGCCTGAGAGGAGATGAAAAGGCTTGTAGTTTTAAATTCATCGTGACAGGCCTGGAAAGAAAGGATGATGAATCTCCTATTATTGGATCAGTCTATTTGCCGCTCAATGTCTCTCTGTAATTGGAGCAACAACACTTTAAAAGGTTCAGAGGGGAGCGCGCGTTTCTGGGGGAGACGAGGAAGAAGACGGCACGGGGGAGGGGAGACAAAGGGGGGGCAGGAGGAGGAGGAGGAAAGCGGCCCTCCTTCCAGCACGCAGGGAAATCTATTAGTGATTTGGGGGGAGGGGGGGCACCAGGAACGCGGGATGCTGCGGAGGGTTTCCGAGGTTTCCCTTCTGAGCCTCTGAAGTTCTTCCTGGATCCTCTCTGGGCGCCCCCCCGCCCCCCCCCCGCTTTTCTCCTCCGACTTGGCCCGGGCTGTCCTCTGCGCCCTGCCCCCTCCCTCCCTCCCTCGGGGGGGGCCGGAGTTCTTATCAAAGAGAGACCCCCCTTTCCTCCCCTCCCCTCCCCGCCTTCTCCTTGTCTTGTTGTGACAGTTGTGATATTGTTTATTGAGGGTGGATGTCAGGTATAATTAGCAATCGATATGGAAAACGGTCGCCTCTCCCCCCCCCGTTCCCCGCCCGCCCGCCCGCCCGGCTCGCCTCTGACGTCATCCCCGCTGCCTGCTTCTTATTGGTCCCAAATTCCCCGGGCCGGAGCCTAATGATGGGGAGGCCTGCCGGTGCTAAAGTTAAAACGCCCGGGCGGCCCGGCTTGCGCCACCGCCTCGCCGCCGCCACCCCCGCGCTCCTCCGGCGGCGGTGGCGGCAGCAGCTGCGCTGAGCGTCCGCGGGCCCGGCTCCAGCATGGACAGCCGCCTCCTCGAGCACCCCCATGCCCAGTTCGGCGGCATGGTGGGCTTCCCCTACCCCATCGGGCCCCCCCACGTCTACGAGCTGGCCGGCCACCAGCTCCAGGCCGCCGCCGCCGCCGCCGCCGCCGCCTCGGTGCCCTTCTCCATCGACGGATTACTCAACGGCTCCTGCGCCGCCGCCGCCGCCGCCGCCGCCGCCGCCGTGGTCAACCCCAACCCGCTGCTCCCCTCCGGCTGCGGCGTCAACGGGGATGCTCAGCCCTTCAAGCTGGCCGGTAAGGGGGCCGCCGAGCCCACGGCCCGCTTTCGCCGCCCGCCCTCCCTCCCTCCCTCCCAAGCCAGCGGCCTAGGTCCACGCCGGGAACCTCCAAGCCGGGGGTGGGTGGGGGGGCAGGCTCTGCAGCCTGGGGGGGAGGAGGAGGAGGAGGAAGATGAAATGGGGGGGGGAGTTGACAGCCAGCAGCTGCTTTTGAGGAGGGGGACGGGGGCTGTAGTCCACTAACTCGGGATTTCAGTCCTCGGCTTGTCTGAAGGGAAGCTGGGGAGGGGGCTTCGAGAGCGGCCTTTGTTGGCCAGGCTGTGCAGCCCGGCCTCCCCCCCCCCCCGCCTCCAATGCCCGGCGTTCGGGCTTCTTCGCGGCAGAAGCGCTCATCCTGGGAACGACTGAAAGTTGGGCCCCGGAGGGAAAGGGGTCCTTGGGGAGGGGTCGCGGTCGGGGTGAGGAGAAGAATAAGATCCTATCCAACTGGTCCAGGCAAGATCGCTCCTGCCAGGATCCCACGGAGTCTTTCCCGCTGGAATCTCTTCGGGAAAGAGGCTGGTGGACCACCTTCTCTGAGTAGCTTTGAAATGGGGTGTGTGTGTGTGTGTAGCGGCAGGAGATGCGTTTAGGGAGTCTTGCTAACACAATAACGACTTCAAAGGTGGGAAGGCGTTTGCCTGGAGGCCCGCGACGCAGGAGGAAAGAACAGAGGCAGGGATTTTGGTTCCCACCCGACCCCTCAACTGAGGGCTTGGATCCTGGGGGTGGGGGGGGCTCCCCTGTCTAAACAGACAACGGGGTGGGGTGGAATAGCGACGAGGCCTTTAGAGGTAGGTCAACTTTGTAGAGACCCCCCAAAGCCTCTGCGAGAAAAGGTTTTCCAGAGGAATTATTATATTATTTAAGATTTAATCTTTAATTTGATTCCCAGTGTAGGACTAGAAAAAACTTAACAGTTCAAGTCCTAACCAAGAACCTAAGAACTGTTAAGGTAACATCTGAGTATATTGGCAGTTCCGAATAAGGTGTTTTTTTGCTATTATTATTATTATTATTATTATTATTATTATTATTATTATTATTATTAATTTCGCACAGTCAGCCAGATGTTCAGAATGGGTTTGGCATTTTTGTTTATCTATCGAGTCCTTACCAAGGACCTGGGATGGGCAGATCTGGATGTTTGATGGTGTTACAGATCTGGCATTTTTGTCCACTTATAATTATTATTACTATTCTCTGACAAACGTGCTCACGGTGGAGCTATCTGAAGTTCTAGCCAAAGGCTCAGGAATCTTAAATCTGGAGTCTAGTGGCTTCCCCTCTTTTTTTTTTTTTTTTCCAACCCTGCAATCCTGCGCAGAAAATATACCCTTTTCATCTGAGACCCCCTCCAGATCTCCCCGAAGTCTGTCGTTCCCTTTGATTGAGGCAAAGGGCCTTTCTCGAACTTTACCTGGGGGAGGAGAGGGGGAAAAAGGGCGAGGCGACGAGGCACGTGGCAATTTAAACACGCGCCTACGGCCCCCTCCCCAATAACTGAGCTTTCAAGTGGGTGCTAACTCGAAAGGAGAGAAAAACGCCAAAGCGAGAATCCCCTTTAGGAAGGCCGGCGAGTGGGCAGCGTCTGCCTTTCTCTCCCCCCAACTCCATTATTCCAATTTTTTTTTGGGGGGGCGGGTTTTCCACTTCTTTGACTAATCTATTGCAAACGGCCGCTTTTGTTTCCAAAGAAGGCGTTTTTAGGAGCGAGCGTGTGTGTGTGTGTGTGTGTGTGTGTGTGTGTGTGTGTGTGTGTGTGTGTGTGTGTGAGAAGTGTTTATCCGTGGGGTGGATGGATTCACATTGGGTTTTAAGAAATCTTCTGTTTCCCCCATGGCCGGATGTTTTGAAAATTATTCCGGCGTGGAAACGCTTCTAAGGAGATTCCTCCGTGGGGTAAAAGGGCTGGAAGGGTCTGTGTGTGTGTGTGTGTGTGTGTGTGTGTGTGTTTGGAGGGGGGGTCGGCTTCGTTTCCTTTAGCTCCCTTTCTGCCTTCCCTCCCCCAGACTCGGTGGATCCGGACAAGGAAAGTCCGGGGTGCAAGAGACGAAGGACCCGGACGAATTTTACGGGCTGGCAACTGGAAGAGCTGGAGAAAGCCTTCAACGAAAGCCATTACCCCGACGTCTTCATGCGGGAAGCCCTGGCGTTGCGGCTGGACCTGGTGGAGTCGCGAGTGCAGGTAAACCGGGCCGCCGCTTGTCCCTTCCTCGCCGCCCAGGGCTGGGGGAGCCTCGTCCGCCACGTCACCCGGGGCTAACCAGGCCTCCACCTCCGTCTCCACCAGCAGCCCCACGAGTCGGGCTTTGACTCCGCGCGGTTAGGGACAAGCAGGCCCTGGCCGAGGCGGAGAATCCCCTTCTCAAGGCCTGTGGGCTGCATTCGTCCCCGTCTCTTCCTTTCGGGGGGGGGGGCAAATTTTGCAATTCCTGGGATTAATTTCCCTATTTCCTCCCCCTCTCCCCAAAAGAGAAAGCCGCTATTTTCATCAAACGAAGCGGCTTTAAATGTCTGTAAGATCTGGGATGATCAACGTAGCGTTTTGCTTTTGGGAGGCTGGGGGGGGGGAACGGATGGGATTGGGGGCTGTAAGAATGTAGTGATAAATCTCGGGATGCTTTTACATCCACGCTGTTGTTGGGTTCCCTCCTCCCCCCCCCCCGTCACTTCATTCCATCCCTCGGCCCTTTCTCCTTACTCATCCCCCCCACACACACAGCGCAAACGTGTCTCATCTGCTTTTAATACTCCACCCCACTCGAGCTTCAAAGGGGCCAATTAATTGGGTTCAAGAACCCAAGGTTTGAATTTGGAAGGCTGGCGGAGGGAGGAGTGGGATCTCTCAACTTTGCAAAGCCCCTCCAGGATCTCCCTCCCACCCTCCCTCCCACCCAAAAGCAGAACCAAAGGCCGCTGGAATTAAATTCCAAGCCTAAAATCAGAAGAATGCCTCTATCGAAGCAATATTACCCTGCAGTGCGTCTCAGGCACCCGCTGGAAGATGCCTAAAATAAAATTTAAAAAGGAAATAAAAGGTTTCCCCAAGCTCTGCCTTTTCCCACTGGTAAGGTTCGGATTAACCTAAGCAGGCCTTGTCTAAAAAGTGTATTTACAAAATACTTCTGCCCTCACTGGCCTGCCTCCTTTTGACCTCTTCTATATGGAAATCCTTTTATCCAATCTGTTCAAGGGTTTTGACTGAAGTCAAGATCCTTCTTGCTTTCCCCTCTAATACGATAATTAGTAATTCTGCCTGACAAGGGCTGGGGGAAGCTAACACCAAGGCGGTTAATAAAAGCAAAAAACAAAACAGGAATTGCAAGCAGCTCCCAGCCCAGCCGATTTTACTTTGGGAGCGATTAAGAATCAGAATCTGAAATAAAACTGGCTATCCATGAGACCCCTCCTCTCTCCTTCCCTCCAGCCCGTTTTCTTAAAAACAAACCTCGAAAACAATTTTTTTTAAAAAATCCCAACAAGGGTCATAATTCTCCGCGCGTTTAAATCGCTGTTTGGTTTGGAAAACTGATTATTTAAATGAACGATTGTTAGATTGTTGTTCCCCCCCCCACATGCTTATTTAATTTTTCTTTAAAGTTTCCTCTGCTGAGGTTTGCAATGGGAATGGCCGATTAGGAAGTTGTTCTTGTTATGTTTCAGAAAAAAATATGTGATTTTAAAAAACAACAAAACCCTGAAATCTTTCAAAGGAGACTATTCGGTTGAAGGGCTAATGTCAAATAATAGATGTTCAAACTCGCTTCTCTTCTGAGATCCCTTTCTCTCTCCAATTTCTTCTCAGAGATGACTGGTCTCCCCCTCCCCTCCTAGCCCCCCAAGCTTAAAAATCGTGTCGTCTCTGCGTTTTCTCTCCCATCTCCTTAGGTTTAAAATTGGGATTCAAATAGTGGAAGAGAATTTCTAAATATGGCCAGTTCCTTCGGGGAAGTTGGCTTTTGGTTGTTCGGGGAGGGGGTGTCAAGCCTTGATCTCCGCGGGGTCGGAGTTTGCATGTCGCCAATTTCCCTCCCTTCCCCCCCCCCCAACAAATCCTAGCCAGGAGGCGACAGAAGCGGCGGCTTTGGTGCTGCTAAGAAAGCGCCGGTGGGCTGGTTCCTCGCCATCGCCTGGCGAAAAACGCAGCCAGGTTTGTTTCCACCGAGGAGACCTATTGTCTCCCAAGGTTTTCCTCCTCCACGCCTTCCTCAATTTGTTAGGGGCCCTCAAACTCTCGGCCCTTTGTGGTGACCCCGTCCCCGCTATCCGCTCCGCGGAGGAGAACGTGTTTGCCGGGGGATTTTTCTTAGCACAAAGTTCTCCACTCGGCTTTCTTCTCCTTCCGCACAATTTCTGCCTCCCCGGATTGTGGCAGCGATCTTTCATTAAAAAAACCAAAAACACTAAGATATAATACCCCCGCCTGCCTCAGCTGTTGTAGAAATAGAGAATGTATAGGATCGCTCATCAGGCCCAAATGTATAGGAGGATGTATAGGATCATCAGGCCCGAATTCTCCTTTTGGGGAAGGCAAAGGATGCTAACCAAAGAAGCGGCCTGGGCTGTTTGCCAAGCAGTCGGGGGGGGGGAGGAGGAAGGTGCGTGGAGAAGCAGAAACGCGGCTCCCCCAAATTTCCCTTTCCGCGTGGACGGGGAAGAAAGAACCAGGGAAGGGGGGAGGAAACGCCTCTGATGTTTTGTTCCGGATCTCCAGACTTTCTTTTGGTGTGTGTGTGTGTGTTTGTGTGTGTGTTTCCAACGCCCTGCACTTTTCAACTCCTCGCCTTCCGCGAACTTTTCTGACTTGTGGGGTAGAAGCCCCCGGTCTCTAAAAAAGAGCCAAGCCCCCCCCCTCTGCTTCCTTCCAAAATATCAGTCGTAAGCGGCGCGCTGACCGTCACCTGTACCAAGGACTAATTCCGTGTCTTTTTTATCGGTTCGCCTGCTTCCCCACAACCACCGAGCCCCGGGTGCGGAGGGCGCGACCCGGGTTTCTCTCCCCCGGCCCGCGCTCCAGAGTGGAGGGGGTTGTCGAGGGAGCCCGGCTGTTAACAGCTTCTCCTTCTCCGGTGTGCAGGTCTGGTTCCAAAACCGTCGGGCCAAGTGGCGGAAGAAAGAGAACACGAAAAAGGGTCCCGGCCGGCCGGCCCACAACTCGCACCCCACCACCTGCAGCGGGGAGCCCATGGATCCCGAGGAGATCGCGCGCAAGGAGCTGGAGAAGATGGAGAAGAAGAAGCGCAAGCACGAGAAGAAGCTGCTGAAAGGCCAGGCGCGCGGCCTCCACTCGCCCAGCGGCCTCTCGGTCAACAGCAGCACGCAGAGCTCCGACAGCGACGGCGGGGGAGGCGGCGGGGGCTGCGGCGGCGGCCTCTCCCCGGACCCACCCGACGGCTGCAAGACGCCCTCGAGCAGCGCCCACCGCCACGCGCCCTTGACCGGCGGTTGCGACCCGGCCGCCGCCGCCGCCGCCTCGGCTTTCTACTCGGGTCGCTGCGCCGCCAAGGACCAGCCGGGGGGCCCGTCAGGATCGGAGTGCGCGGCGCCCCCCGCGCTGCCCGGCGGCTACCCCAAGCTCAACCCCTTCAGCGTGGAGAGCCTCTTGTCGGACTCCCCGCCGCGGCGGAAAGCGGCGCTGGACTTCTCGCCGGCCCTGGCCCCCTGCGCCCCCGCGGCGCGCACCCTGATCGGCAAGGGCCACTTTCTGCTCTACCCCATCACGCAGCCGCTGGGCTTCATCGTGCCCCAGGCCGCCCTGAAGAGCAACCCGGCCCAGGAGGCGCCCCAGCGAGGCTCCCCGCTCCCTGCCGCCAACCCCAGCCCGGACCCCGCGCCCCCCAAGAGCAGCAGCACGGCCGCCATCTCCACGCCCGGCGACGGCGGCGCCTCCCTGCCCAGGAAGGTGCTGGCCTCGCCGCTGGCCGCCTCGTGCTCCTCGGCCGCCTCCCCCGCGCCCTACGGCGGCGACTCGGCTTCCCAGGGAGACGGGAGCAGCGGCCCGGCGGCGCCCCCCAAGTCCCCCCCGAAGGAGGCCGCCCACGCCAAAGGCAATCCGGATTGCCGCACGACGGAGAGAGACTGTGCAACGGAGAGCAACGGTTTAGACTGTGAGGAGGTGGATATGGACTAGAAGAAAGGGCGGCGGGGGTGGGGGCAGATGAGTATCTTTATCTGCTAGATTCCTTGCGGGTTGGGCGGGGGGTAAATGGATCAGTCGAAACTTCTCCCATTCCCAAAATTTTTCCTCTAGATTCTGCCCATCCCTCGGTTCGCCACCTCTGTTTTTCCATTATTCTTCTCGCCTCTCTCCCCCCCCCCAAAAAACTTTCCCAGGTTCTAACTTTGCGCTCTTGAAATCAGGTGACCGATTTTTTATTTTAATTTTTTTTAATAAAGGGGGGGGAGAGATTTTTCCAATTTCATTTTATTTTGTTTGGTTTGTTCCCCAAAAGAAGCTCCGAGTGGCCGGGACTTCCGGGGTTCTGTTTTGGGTTTTTTTGTTTTTTTTTCCCGAAGCTGGACTTGACCTGAATACAAACTGTTTAAAAGAAAAAAAATCCCCTCAACCAACCAGACACAACAGCGACTCCTCAAACCTTGTAAATTGCAAAAAAAAAAAAAAAAAAAAA